TTTAATGTATGAAAACCTCTTAATACGAAAACTTGTTATCTTTCGATGATTTTCGTAAATTTGACTGCTGAGTATCGGCTAATCCATTTGAAATGGATGAAAATATGAACAGACTAAATCTCAAACAAGTGCTTGATATTTGGGCTTGACGCTTTTATTCCTTTCGTAAGGAATCATGATAGAAGTCCTCATCTATGCACTCTATGTGACAATAGCATTAAGACTAGTGCAGATTTTAAAATACACATGAATATCCATGAAAGAAATAAATCATTTAAATGTAGTTACTGCAATTATAGATGTTCTAAGAAGTCAAATTAGGTTACACACTGGAGAGACTCCATACCAGTGTGAGAAATGCGAACGTTTTACATACAAGACAGCTTTTAATAATCATGTTTTCATTCATAATAGTGAAAAGATGTTTTATTGTGCTTGTTGCAACAAGAAATTTGTTGCATATTCTATTCTGATTGCCCATGAACGTTCTCATACTGGAGAGAGGCCCTACAGTTGTGGCACATGTCATAGATGTTTTTCTGTGAGGTCTACGCTCAAAAAACACATGAAATTATATTCGAAAGGTTTGGGTTTTATTTGCCACGTTTGTGGAAGAGCTTTCAAGTCAAAAGCGTCGTTAGATTCCCATTTGTAATTTGAACTAATAACAACGCTTTGAGACACCGTAAAATACATACATACATCAATGGAGTCGTTTATCCGATGCTTCGTCAGTAGCTTCAGTTAGCATCCTCAGGAAACGTAGAGACTGGGTCTTAATTCAAACGCAACAAAGGACTTTCAATCGTCAAGCTTGAACATCAGGATTCAAATAACGCTGGACGTGAAAGCGTTAAGGTCGATTCGCACTATACATTTGATTTCCATTTTAGTAAACGTTCCATACATTTTGGTAATACTAACAGTTGAACATTGCGTTTCCTTTCCATATCAGAAGACTACAGAAGCCCGTAATGTGAAACTGACTGAAGTATATAGGTATATGCATGTGGTCCAAAGAAAATTTAATGAATGCCGCTGTTATTCTGGATAAGGATAAGTATTTGCCAAAAGAAGAATATGGAGAACACGGCTTTGGATTTACAATATAGGAAAATTTTGATGAATCGATTTATCGATTTAGGTTATGTGTATGATCTTGTGGCTAGTGTCTAATCTTACGGCTATTTTCCATTAAATAAACCACCCTAGCAATCATTAAATCTTGTTCCAAATTTATAAAAATGTGTAACTTTTTGCCAATAGATTTTCATCGAGACGGTTGAAACCGTTCAACCAAACTAATAATGGAAGCATAAAATCCAAATTCCAATATACTGGAATGTGACAAAATCTATCTATTTTTTAATTTGCATTAGATTTTATAGATTTAATAATAAAAATGAACTGATGTGGAACGTATTTCTATTCTCACTTTCCTGATCTTTCTATCGCGTATCGTCACGTCTTTTCTTAAGAATCCAGGGTATGTATGAAAGTATCTGCTAGCTCTACTGAGTTCTTACTCTCAAAAATAGGAATACATAGCTCATCCTCAGCTTAATTCGGACTAGTCACTTTCTTTCCTTCTAGCGGATAGAGAAATAGATATGCTTTTAATAGTTCATCTTGCAGCTTTATATGTAAAGCTAATTTTCATGTGTGTGATGAACGTATTACTTATAATCTTTTTTTTCTTTTTTGATCTGGTTAACCTTCGAAAAAGTACCCGTAAAATTTTTAAGCAAACACAGTTTAGAGCAACAATTAATGTATCTATTTTAAATTAACTTACGAGTTTCAAGAATAATAATAACGGCAAGGTCTTGGCGCTATTATTTCGTCGGCAAACTTCCTAGGTTTTTATCGCATCGAGAGCGAGCGAGCGAGCGATTTTTGGCGATTTAATAATAATAACAATAAAAACCGACGTATGGAACAACCGTGCATGTAGGCGTTGTTGCTAAACGCGTGAAATTGTTTGTTACAATGTTTGTGGAAGAATAAGCAGATCAAGTTTTTAACCGTCCGATTCGATCATCGAGTTTTTTACGACAGCCTTTGCAAACAAGATCGTATTTTCGATGTGGGATAAAGATACAGAAGCTTCGGAGCGAATCTTTGAACTAATCGTGGACGAATTAATAAGTACAATTTTTCAGCAGAATAATTATCATATTAGATTACCTATTGCACTATGGCATATCAAGTAGATTACCTACACTTACGATTAGTGGTGGTTGATGACCGATAGAGGTCAGTAAAAGTACAATAATATTCCGTAAATATAGATTACAACAGCAAAAGAAACAAAGTAACTTAAACTTTCGGCAAATCTTACCATATACTTTGAATTTCATTAGTAATTTTCTAAATATACTAAAAGAATAACTAATCAGGGTGTATTTATAATTAATCATTTGATTTTTTCTATAATTTTAATTTTTGTTTTTTCCAATTCTTCGACAGGTATTGGAGTAATGGAATAATATGGACAACAAGAATAGTTACGAGTAGAACACAACACAATGTTGGTAAGTTGTTTTTTTTTCCGTATATTCTTGTAATTGTAATTTTCTTATTAACCTTTTGAGATCTCTGAGGGCCACTGCGTTCAAATGTGTTTGTTTGAAGATACCATACTTTGGCGTCAATTAGACGCGATTAATGATCGCAATCTTTTCTTTCAATAACAATTCGAAAATGACAACAAAAATAAAATATACAACAAAATCAACCCATAGTGAGTGATAAGCGATAAAGGAATTAAAAATATTAGTTTTATAAGCGCGGGGGTTTCTCTAATCGGAGAACTGTGGGAATTACCCAGTACTTAATTCATAAATTACTATTGCTATTAATTTAACAATGATTTTTGTTCTTAACTGCAGAATCTTTAGTAATGTACTTAAAAGTTTTTAGTTTTGTACATGTACTAAACATAAGCTTTGGAATTCCCCTGCGAGAGACCAAATTTATATCCAAGGAAAATCAATAGATAAAGACACAATACCGCGATTAAAAAATTCTAAAAATTAATTACTTATGCGCATCAACAACTAGAAGATACCAATCTTCTGTATTATATCAAGTAGCTAAATATTCATAACGTAAAATCTATAACTGATGAGAATTTCTTAAAATTGCTTTGTTTTATGACCCCTGCAACTTCTGGTTATATCAGCAGTTGCAATTATAAATCAGTGCTTTTATGCTGGTGTAGAAAATATTATTTGTTGTGCTTTCGAAAACCGCAAATGCCACCAAATAACCCGAAGGATACCCTCGAATGAATTTAAAATTAAATAAATTAAAATTTGTTATCCCGGCGATCTATAAATTAATGACCGTATATTTTTTTTATGCTTAAAATAGTAAAGCTACGGTACGAAAAGACAACACGAACGAAGTGAATGTAGTCGTGGTTAAGTCCTTCCAAGGACAATTTGGGGATGTGCAAAATTGTTTTCTTCATAAAATATTTTTTTTTGTTTTGAGTAAACAAAAGGAGTACATGCATGAACAAAAATAAATAAATAAATATCTGTATGCATTCGGACACTGGCGTACGCCTGTTGGGTAGTTTAAAAAGATAATTTACCTTTTTAGTTAAATGCATTATAAACATTCTGTGGGCAGTACAAACAAATAATTGAATGGTCACAATACTGGGAATGTGCGGTTGTTTTTAGCGCCAATCAGTGGAGTTTAGTGTTAAACTTTAACGATTTTAAGTGTATTTACAGTAAGTGCTTGCAGGGTGATAATTAGGTACATTGTTTCTTTAAGAGAGAAAAAAACTTGCGTGAATTATTTAGGAGAAACGGTACGACTTTTGAATAAACAAAATATACCCTTGAATGATAATGTTGCAATAGTAGATGAGTTTTAACAATATATTAAATATTTAATAAGTAGTAGTGGTAGGTATAGTACTTACGCAAAATGCAAATAAAAGTTTCCTCGTCAGATTCATTTTAAATCAATTTTCTTTTTCCATATTATAGGTAACTGCTATTTACTAATCTTTATGCATTTGCATCTGTTAGATAAATAATTTAGATAAATTGCAATGCAGACGTTTAAAAGGACAAAATACAGCATGTAATTGCCTACGTTTTTAATTAAATTATGAATAATATACATATACCCATTAATGACTAAATTAACTTTGTAACAAGAGGCAAATTATTTAATTTATAAAATTTTATTAGAAAATATCAATGAGAAGAGACAATTGAAAAACAACCTCAAAAATTTTGAATATACTATGATTAAACATTGATTGATTAACTTTGATTGGAAACATTTAAAAAAAAAATCTTACATTACGCAAACTAAATTTCACTTATTTATACACATTTTATTCGTTCAAGAAACTTTTTTTTTTGGGAAAAATTCATGATTTAAAATTTTTATTTCTCTCCGGTTTTCAAATATTGCTGACAATTCGAAAAACTTCACTCGTTTATACGAAATACTATTTTTATAAACGAGGGCAAATGGTATTTGCAAATTTGTTTACATCAGCACTTTAATTTTTTATCGTAATGGAATAAGCGTTTAGGTGAAACGATTTAGAGCGGATATAGGAAGCTAGTCGAGCACTTTTTCTGCTTGCACAACACGTCTTTAATTAATACCAAATAAATATCACTCAGAAAATTGCAAATGTGCGAATTTTTTAATATCAGACTATCATCGGTAAGTCAATAAAAAATTAACAAATTAAGAAAATTTCCTACAAGAATTCCCACCGGGAAATTCGAACAGTGTTAAATGTTATCGAAGAAAAAGCGTCTACCTTCAACACTAGTTGGTTAATTAAATCAACCGAATGTTCCCGTATACCCCCCAATTTTCATTGTACAAAATTATTCCACTGCTTTTATCGGACAATTAAAACCGTCATCATATTTTCGTTTTATTTTCTTGTTCGAAACCTTTAGCCGGTGATTTCCCAGAAAACTTGCGTCAAACTATAACAACTACCAACATACCTTAGGTGAGCAATTGGCTGATATCGCGGGGTACAAATTTCATCCCCTAAGTCCACAAAAACAATAAAATGTCATCCACAAAACTCACACACAAACAAAATTAATTATGTAGGTATTTTTTTGATGAATAGAACAAGTCACTCGGTTTATTATTTAATATTTTGGTAAGTAACACATAAAAACCATTCGATTGTTGCTAAATTATATTACAAATGTTGTTGTCAATTTAACAATCACAAACTATATCGTTTACGACCGAATAAAGTTCGGGAAAACTTAATCGATTTATTGTCCTTAAAAAAATTGTTTGCTTTCGATACCATTAAGATGGTAACTGCTGCTGCGGCACAACGAAACACGCAGAGGTGTTATTTTAAATAGGAAAATTTCGTTTCAAAGTCCATCCAAGTAGAAGAACATCGCTGTTTGCCGCGAAGCGATGCGACGAAGTAGCGCGAGCGCGGAAAATGTTCGCACAGCTTTTTCCACCGCACGGACGCACGCACGTGTCGAACTTTTCCATAAACCCAAGACTGGCGAATGAAAACAGGCGCTCTGAAGTGATGTGACAAATGTTAAGAGCTTTTGTGTGCGCGGGATCGACGTCCCAACGTGCGGTTCAAAGCCGACTGAGTTGTAATTTCAGCGTAAAACCTCAGTTCATCCCCTCTACACGCCCCCCACCACTGCAGGCCGAAAAATTCAGTTATATCCTGAAATTATATTGGTTCACTTCGTGAATAGGTACATTCTTTAACAAATGCGGACAACAATTGTCGAGAGACGTTTTCATGTTCGTGGGTAAATCCAACGGCGAGCGCGACCGCGGCCAGCCGTGGTTATCGCGGTTCGACGGCGACGACGCCGACGAGGAGACGACCGACGTAAAGCACAAAACGCACACACACAAACAAATACTGATCGGTGGACGACTTGGCTGATGATGATGATGATGATGATGAACGATGGAGGAGTTCCTCCGCGCCGTTTTGTTTCGCGAAATCGTAGCAGGCGTCGACCGACGACGGCGACGTCGCCCGTGCGTGCTTTCATGGGTGTCCAAGATGCTTCGGTTGTAGCTTTCATTCATGCAGGTTGTTACGAGACGGCGGGGGGTGGTGCCGGCGGAGGGACGCGAAACGGGGGCGGTCGGGATGCAAATTTGGGGTGCATATTGACGCGAGGGCGGTAGGTTAAGGGCAGATCGACCATATGCGTGCATACACTCCCGTGTGTGTATGTGTGTGTGTGTTTGTACAATGTATAAAAGAAAAACAAAAAATAATTGCCAGATGAGTAATACTGTTTATCCTTTTTAGGTCGCCTAACTATCGATTTTATTTTGCGCATTATTTCTTCCCTTCTTTGTAAAACCCTTCTACATGTCTATTCATTTACGTAATAAGCCTTGTTAGGTTGTACATATACATATAATTAGATGCAGATCAAACAGATGCCTAAATGACAGGATTGGGAAATGTGCTAGGATTGTACCATAAACGTACTTAAATATGCCGGAAAAACATATTCAGCCAAGATTCAAACCAATGACGAACAAATTTAAAAAGTAGATCGATAACATGCTGAAAATGAACTCAAACCTTATCTACTGAAAATTGACCGCCAACGTGATCCAAAGCATACGGAAAATGAACCCCAGTTATATTAAATGTGGACCGAAATATGCCGAAAATAGGTGAAAACTGTACTGAATCAACATATGCCGAAAACATGCTTTAAACAGCCTACAAACATAAGTAGATTGAAAACATAAAAATGGACACAAAGCGAACCGAAAAATGACCGCCGGCATAGATTGAAAACATGTCGAAAGTAGATGGAAAACCTGCTGGAAATTGATCGCAACCACATTCAACATAGACCGAAACTATGCTTACAATAGACTACAAACAAAAGTAGATTCAAAACATAAAAATGGACTCACTGCGTACCGAAAAATGACCGCCGGCATAGATTGAGAACCTGCCGGAAATTGAATGCAACCACATTCAACATAGACCAAAATCAAGGATGTAACAGCTTATAAACATAAGTAGACTGAAGGCATAAAAATAGACTCAATGCGTACCGAAAAATGACCGCCGGCATAGACTGAATGAAAACATGCGCAACCACATTCAACATAGACCGAAATCATACTTACAACAGATTACAAACAAAAGTAGATTCAAGACATAAAAATTGACTTACTGTTTACCGATAAATAACCGGCGGCACAGATTGAAAAAATACCGAAAAGTAAAAGAAAAACCTACTGAAAATAGATTACAAGCTGGTTAAAAATGACCACTAGCATAGATTGGCAAGATGCCCAATAGTGCACCTTTTTCAAACCGAATATCGGCCGAAAACATACCAGATATGAATGAAAAATCTGTACGTAATTGACCGTAAACATGCCCAACGTAGATCGAACAATACCTTCCAAACATTAACAG